TTCCTTTATTGCCCCAACGCATCTCAAGGACCTCGTGGCTGCAGATCTGCAAATTGCGGCATTGGAAGAGCTGCTGAAGCAGTCCCCAAGTCCAGAGCGAAACGTGCCCATGTGTGCCGAACGTCGAGCATCCAATGGAAGGACTGCACATTGATGCTAGGAAATGGTTAGCTTGCACAGTTGTTCGATCGTGGCTGCTCGAGTTGCGCTGCAAGGAAATACGCTGCCCTCCCTGCAGCACCACCTCTCGGTCCCATGCCGGACGGCACTTTTCGTTCAACGGTTGACTGCTGGAACCGAAAGCGTGATCGGAAGTGGGTGGAAAAGAAACTCGGGATTGCAGAAAAGGGAGCCTTGGACGGCAACGTCAAGGTCATACTGAGTCATACTTGAAGCAACTGTGATGCTGGATGTTTTTTCCCAAATCGTTTTTGTACATCCGTACATCATTTCAGGCAACAGCACCACCGTCTTCGTGAATGAGCTTGACACATCAATCGTCATTGCGGTTGGGTATCGTCGTGTATTGTATGGCGACCACGGTCCGTATATTGAGTTCACGAAAAGCCAGGTTCATTGGCAAAGCTTTCCAGTTATCAAGCCTGACAAGCCATCGCATGCCTATTATGATGAGCGCTTCACAGAAGATCAGCACGTTATGGCTTACGAACAGCGCAAAACTGTTCGGGACAAGCCAAACCCCCCACCTGGCCCGTGGTCAGCGAACCACCATCGAGTTGAGACAGGGTATGCAGACTACCAACCTGGATATGTGTATGTGTCTGCCGATTGCTTGGATGTCTTGCCAGAGGACAGGCCTGACAGACCGGTTAAACGAAGAAAGCGTTGTGATGCTGCTATTCATGGTGTGCTGGTCTTGAAAAAGCTTGGCGATCTGTTATACCGCAACCAATTTTTGGCCAACGGCACTAGTGTTTTCTAATTCGGGTGCGCTTTGTACAGTCTCAAAAGACCTTGCTTGAAAGGCTTTGCGTGCCAAATTTAACTTGCTGCATTTCGATCTGGCGGTAGTTGGCTGTATGTGACCGGCTAAAAGCATTTTAGCTGTCCCGGAAAACGTGCGGTCAATTTCTCTCCGGTGTATTGGCTTGAAATCAGGCTGTGCTCCGACTTGCAACGAATCAGCGGACATCTGTTGCTGCAGCTTGTGCTGTGGCAATAGCTTCAGCTGCCGTCGCCGAGGGCGTCGTAGTTGAGCTTGTGAAAGTCAAGCTCGTGACGGCAATCGGCACACCAGCAAGATACACGGCTCAAGAAGCGAGGGTTGCATGCCTGTATGCAAATGCCTGTATGCACGAACCGAGAGGCACGATGCGCTTGGATGATTGATACTGCAAGCAATATTGAGGGATTGGAGGAAGGTTTCCGTGACGTGTGCAGAGCAAAATGTACGCCTTGAATCATGTCAGCTGCAATGATGTTGACTTCTGAGCACCGGCTGCAGGTTTCTTCTTCAGTCCAGACGAGTCAGTGGGCGGGTGCCAAGGGCCGGATTATCATTTCGGTGATAAGGAAGTGCAGTGGAGGACGGCTTCCCTTGTACGGAAGTGCTCATGCAAGTTTGCGCACCCTCGAATGCAGGAGCGCTTGGAAAGGCGACTGTGCGTTCTTGTACAGGAATGAACCCGAAGACAAGCAGGCTGGCAGAAGGAAGCTTGTTTGCAGTCCTTTTGCATGTCGTGGGCCTTGTGCCCGAAAGCTCAAGACGTGTAGGTGCTGCACTGGCGGTCTCCGCGAAGCGAAGAGTACGATGCATGCTACCGCATGGCCTGCAAGGCGGACGCTGTACAAGTGATTGGGTGCTTGCCAGGCATTGCCAGTGCAAGCCGGGTGCTCGAAATATGCGCGGGGCTGCATAGTCTCCACATCGGAGCGATTTCCGAACGCTTAGCAGCTTAGCGCTCCGGAGGCGGATGATAGTTTCAGATTGTTTCAGAGTATTTTAGAGGCTTCGATTCTTACAGCACGGCGTGGTTTGCTTTTCAACATCAGTGCTTCCATGTAGATGGATAAAGCAAAAACTGTTTTGCCAGGAATTCTGCAGATCACACTGGTGCATGGCCAAAACAGTACCGCTCTGAGAGGAAGTGAAGCTTGACATGATCGTATCGTCTCCGAGACTGAGGTTGCGACTGCGCTTTGGTCGTTCGCAATTTTTCTGGTGCTGACCTCTCTTTGCAGCTGCGCCGTCGTAGGTTGGACCCTTTGATGTTGGCACAACACTTTCGCCACTTGTGGCTCACTACTTCATGCATATGTTGGAGATCCAAGTCCTGCTGCGACAGGCTACAAGCTCGGGTCGCAACTGTCGAATTGGGACAAACGCGAGCTAGGCTGGCTGTGCGACGTGCAAGTAAAGTGTAGGTATTCCTTAGTTGCGCCACGGCTGCATTGCATTGATCGAGCGTGTTTCAGGTGGCAGTTCGTGCAGCATGTGTAGCAGCACCAGCAGCGCATGAATGGGGCCGGAGATTGTAGGAATTGCCAGGATCGATGGCCGAAGGCCATGGCACTTACTCTTGCCATGTAGGGGCAAGTGAGACAAGATAAGACAAGTCAAGACTCAATTCAAAGTTGCAGTCGCTCAAGTGTTTGCTTCAGACGCGTCCTGCTTCTTCACTCTTCACCGGCTGTCTGTATGTTTTTTCATGGGCTGCGACTGCACGACTGCACGAGTTCGACTGCATGGGGCGAAGGTCTGCCCAGGCCGGAGAAGACTTCACTGGGCAGATTTTCCTCCTATGCTTACAGCATCCCAGCAGCCTCCTCCTGTTGTGTTTCCGAATTTTTCTATACCCGCGGGCCGAGGTTCTATTGATAGCTGTTGGTGGAGCATGCCTGCAATGAATTCGTCGCTCTCGACTTCATGCCGTGACCTTTCACGAAGTCCAAGATTTTTAGCCAGTGCCTATCCGCAAGAGCAAAGCTCATCAAGAAGGGTGCTCGCTGAGAGGTGCCTTGCTTGTGTAGAGGGTGGCGTTGAATTGAGTCATTATGCCACAAGGCAGGTTGTTGACTTGTCGGATGCTCTTCTTTGCAAGGCTGGAACCGAATTCGTCACCATCATACTTCAATGTTCTTAACTTAAACTTGGAAAGCTAGCAGCATCAAAAGATGCTACCTGCGGTGGCTCCAGCAGTTAAGGGGCTCTTAGGTGAATTGATGCAACAGCTCCATCGTTACAGAAAACCTAGAATTCCGTACTTCTGGAGCTTGCCGCACGCACATTGGAGATTGTGAGTCCCTCGCAACTCCTGCAGAGTCACAAAGACTTGCACAGTTCGCTTGTTGCTGCATCCCCTTCAAGGCGGTCACAACATCGCGATATTCCGGGGCTGTTCGGGATTGCCGTGCCAGAAACGCGGGGAGCGGGATGCTTGTCTAGTTTACTAGCTCTACTAGTTGAGACGTTGGCCGTTGATCACGATCGACATCCCGGAGCTTGCTGGTAGCCTCGAGTTACTCCGTGGTTCTTGGTGCTGCGGGCTGGACGCTCAGCACCAATCGGTCAGACACCGGCTTGGCTCGAGAGAAACGCCCGCTGGAGCAGTTGCGTGAAGGGATACAACCGATCGAGCTGGTACTTCCTATCACGAACCAAGCAACTTTACGTATCGTTATCATCCGCTAATACTCCCTTTCGAAACCCTTTCGATGTCGCAGAGCCCAGGCAATTCAGCAGAAAGCTCATCATGACCCCCCACCCGCCGGTCCCAGTGGAGAGGATCTACACAGAAAGTGGGATGATGGAACTGTGCAGTTACTGACTGAGAGCCCCTACGTAACATCACAGGCTTGCAGAAGTTCGTGCACTTTTCATTTCGTGGAGGCAAGCTGCAGATGTCTGCCTCCTTTGAGCCCTCAGCCAAAGAGCCAGTTCCACACCCAGCTCAGAGGCTCAAGTTCCTGGTTCAGTGATGCTCAGTAGTGCCAGGAATGCCTTCAGGTTCTTTAGCCAGCTCTTCCTAGCAATGCAGAAAGCAACCAAGACTGGATGAGCATCCAAGCAGCTTCCATCCACCCCAGAGCTCCTTACGATCCCAGATCCGTAGCTGACAAGTAGAGCGCAGAGTGCAGCACGCCACCCGAGTGCTGCTGCACCAGCTCTTCTCGACTGCAGAATGAAGGCCGGCGGGCCGGCGGGAAACCTGCGGAGACGATGCCCATCTCTGTGGGTAAAAGCAGGGGGGGTGAGTACCTGTTAGTGGGAGGCATTGTGTCATCAGAGAACTCCAGAGCCTTGAGCCTTGCGACGGTTCGTGGCCTGCCAGATATTCAACTGGGCCTTTGCTCTCGTCGTACTGCTTGGCATAGTCCTGGCAGTGATCCGGGAACCTTGGCGGCACTCGCAGCAATCACACTTCTAACCCTTAATGCCTTTGTGAGATGTGCTTCGTCCTGGACGCGGGGGTGAAGGCAAAAGCCATTGAAGACGGCCGCGGGTTGTGTCCGGTTTGGGGAGTGCCTGACCTAGCGTGTGGGCTTTTGGTTGCATTGCCTCAGTGTCTGTGTTGTCGGGAGACGCTGGTTGTCCTAGCTCCGGCCATCGTGTCTGAAAACAGTGTCAGTGCGGAGCGAACTGTCTGGAGCGCTTCCACGATGCCTTGGCTGTATGGCAGCTGTCGGCACACTGGCAGTTTCGACAAAGGCTTTCGTCTCTAAGGGACAGGGCTTAGACAAAGTATCTCCCACAATGTGATTTACGCAGCAACCGCACAAAGCCGTGAAGCTGATGCACTTGTTTTTCAGGAGTCCCGAGATGAGGAGCCTGAACAGCTTGCAATGCATCAAAGGGGCGTCTAGCTACTCTGGTCGCCGAAGCCTGCAGGACCTGAGCGCAAGACAACTGCGGTGGCAGAACCTGACGCCGCAGCTGCCACAAGCAGATCAGGACATCGGCACGGCTGTGTGTCTGTGTGTGCATCCACAGCAGGTTTATAAACTTGGCAGGAGAGCATCCTCGGATTTGGCAGGCGACTTCAAGCAGCGACAACCACAACTGTAACAACGACATCCACAAGCAGCACTGGCTCGACCAGCACCACCATTAGCACAACACAAACGAGCGTTACGAGCACGACCTCGTTATCCTCAACCACATCAGCCACGACAACAAGCACGACTAGCACCGGCTCCACCAGCACCACAATCAGCACCACACCAACGAGCGTGACGAGCACGACCTCGTTATCCTCAACCACGTCGGCCACCACAACCAGCACAAGTAGTAGCATCTCGACTAGCACCACCAGTAGCGTCACCAGCACGACCTCGTTGTCATCAACCACATCAGGCACGACAACAAGCACAAGTAGCACCGGCTCGACCAGCACCACCATGAGTGCTACGAGCACGACCTCGTTATCCTCAAGCACATCAGCCACAACAACAAGCACGACTAGCACCGTCTCGACCAGCACGACAGTCAGCACAACAGCGACGAGCGTTACGAGCACGACCTCGTTGTCATCAACCACATCAGCCACATCAACCAGCACAAGCAGTACTGTCTCGACCAGCACCACGACTAGCACAACATCCACGACTATTTCGAGCACGACTTCATCATCCTCATCTACATCAACTACATCAACCAGTACAACGTCAAGTTCTTCATCTACCTCCAGCACCTCATCGACTTCAACAACGTCAACCAGCACGAGCACCAGCAGCTCGACCAGCACTTCCACCAGCACGACCTCGACTAGCAGTACATCCAGCTCGACGAGCACATCGAGCAGCACATCAACGAGCTCGACAAGCACTTCCTCATCGTCTTCTAGCACTACCTCAACCTCGACTACATCAACAAGCACCAGCAGCAGCAGCTCGACCAGTACAAGCACCACCGTGACTACCTCCACAACATCTTCGACATCTTCATCCACATCTACCACAACAACGTCAACCGTTACAACTTCGACAACCACTTCTACATCTACGAGCAGCAGTAGTTCGACCAGCACTAGCACCTCCAGCAGCAGTTCTAGTACAACATCAACAAGTACCAGTAGCACTTCGTCTAGCAGCTCGAGCACCACATCATCGTCATCTAGCTCAACAAGCACGAGCAGCAGCAGTTCGACTCGAACTACTTCCAGCACCACTTCCACAAGCACCACAAGCACTTCCTCATCCACCTCGAGCACCACATCGACATCGACCACATCGACGTCGACAACATCAACTAGCACAAGCAGCAGCACCACAAGTACTTCTTCGTCGTCTTCGAGTACGACCTCAACGTCAACCACATCAACGAGCACCAGCAGCAGCAGCTCGACGAGTACAAGCACGACCCACACTACCTCCACAACATCTTCGACGAGCACTACAAGCACGTCGTCATCGACTTCCACGACAACATCGACGTCGAGTTCTTCATCGAGCTCAACCAGCAGCAGCTCCACCAGCTCCACCAGTAGCACCACATCCACGAGCAGCACGAGCACGTCGTCGTCAACTACATCCACTACATCGTCGTCGACCACTTCAACATCCACGAGCAGCAGCAGCTCGACAAGCACCAGTAGCTCCAGCAGCAGTTCCAGCACATCCTCCTCGAGCACCAGTACCAGTTCCTCTAGCACCTCCAGCACCACCTCGAGCTCAACTACATCGTCGAGTACAAGCAGCAGCAGCTCGACCAGTTCGAGCACAACTCTCACCACGTCCACCACCACATCCACAAGCACGTCCTCAAGTTCTTCATCTACGTCTAGCACTTCATCAACTTCAACAACGTCAACCAGCACAAGCAGCACCAGCTCGACCAGCACTTCCACCAGCACAACCTCAACTAGCAGTACATCCAGCTCAACAAGCACATCGAGCAGCACATCAACTTCAACAACAACGAGTAGCACGAGCAGCAGTAGCTCGACTAGCACGACGTCCAGTACCACATCAACGAGCTCGACAAGCACTTCTTCATCGTCGTCCAGTACGACCTCAACGAGCACCAGCAGCAGCAGCTCGACAAGTACAAGCACGACCCACACTACCTCCACAACATCTTCGACGAGCACTACAAGCACGTCGTCATCGACTTCCACGACAACATCGACTTCGAGTTCTTCATCGAGCTCAACCAGCAGCAGTTCCACCAGCTCCACCAGTAGCACCACATCCACGAGCAGCACGAGCACGTCGTCGTCAACTACATCCTCTACATCGTCGTCGACCACTTCAACATCCACGAGCAGCAGCAGCTCGACAAGCACCAGTAGCTCCAGCAGCAGTTCCAGCACATCCTCCTCGAGCACCAGTACCAGTTCCTCTAGCACCTCCAGCACCACCTCAAGCTCAACTACATCGTCGAGTACAAGCAGCAGCAGCTCGACCAGTTCGAGCACAACTCTCACCACGTCCACCACAACATCTACAAGCACCACGTCAAGTTCATCGTCCACCTCCAGCACTACATCAACGTCAACAACATCGACCAGCACAACCAGCAGCAGCTCGAGCACCACATCCACAAGTAGTACAAGCACATCTACATCTTCCTCTTCCACTACGTCTACTTCCACGACCTCAACATCAACAAGCAGTAGTACTTCGTCTAGCACAAGTACCTCTAGCAGCAGTTCGAGCACCACATCCTCCAGCACAAGTAGCTCCTCTACTTCCAGCTCGAGCACGACTTCCACGTCATCCACCTCGACAAGCACGAGCAGCAGCAGCTCCACCAGCACGAGCACCACGCGCACAACCTCAAGCACAACTTCGACGAGCACCACCACAACCTCCTCATCAAGTTCAACCACTACATCAACTACGACGAGTAGCAGCAGCACAACCAGCACCAGCACCTCCAGCAGCAGTTCCAGCACCACATCCACGAGCACCAGTAGCACTTCGTCCACCAGCTCAAGCACCACATCAACTTCATCCACGTCAACTAGTACCAGTAGTAGCACCTCGACCAGCACTAGCACCTCCAGCAGCAGTTCCAGCACAACATCCACAAGCACAAGCACCACTTCCTCCAGCAGCTCGAGCACCACATCATCGTCATCCACCTCAACAAGTACGAGCAGCAGCAGTTCGACCAGTACAAGCACTACTCGAACTACCTCCAGCACCACATCCACAAGCACCACAAGCACTTCCTCATCCACCTCGAGCACCACATCGACGTCGACCACATCGAC